CTGTTTAATTCCTGGTCAGGGCACATCCCCAGGCTTCAGGCTTACAAGTAGGGTAAGCATGTCAAACTCGCAGCCCATGGGAATATTTTTGTGGCCCAGCCAATATAATGGTATGAAAGAAACGTTTTAATAAAAATTTTGTAATTTAATTTTAACAATATCTTGTTAAACAGAATTATCAATAACAAACTACAACATTCGCTAATGACTGATTACTATAATTGTGTTGCATTCATTTCCCTTACGCACAGGCGCACCATTTCTCTCCACTAATACTAGCAGCGAATAGTTTAGCAGCTGATTGCCACCTCATTAGTCTTGGACTGAATTGTTTGGTGTGCGCAATAGAAAATATTTCGCTTTCAGAGAACAAGAAAAATAGGTTTATTTGTGTTACGTTTATTAATTTGTGCAGTTATTTAGTGTCTGGTAAGTTAATGTTGAAGAAAAAATATTAATTTTTATTAAAATGTATGATTTTATGTTAACAATTACTCATTTGTTTCAGCCCTTTGTATTCAGCATCTCTCTATTGAAATAAACCTACATTTCTATGAAAATTGAAGCTTTGTTTTTTTGTGGCCCACATAAACTTAAACCTTTTTATTTGGCCCGTGTTAGCCTCTGAGTTTGATATGCTTGCAAAAGGGGGTGTGCAGGAGGCAGTCATTCGATGTCTATGCTTGCACATAGATGTTTCTCTTCCTCTCCCTTCCTCTCTCCTTAAAAGTCAATAAAAAAATCTTAAAAATAAAAAAAAAAAAACTGGGACAAATGTTACATAATAAAGGGTTAATGTACTTCCTCTGTTAAAAGGCCTTGCAAATTATTCTTAAAAAAGGAAAAAGAGAGCCTGGCCGGTGTGGCTCAGTGGTTGGGCATCTAACTGTGAACCAGGAGGTCACAGTTCGATTTCAGTCAGGGCACATGCCCGGGTTATGGACTCGATCTCCAGTATGGGTGTGCAGGAGGCAGCCGATCAATGATTCTCTCTCATCATTGATGTTTCTCTCTCTCTCCCTCTCCCTTCCTCTATGAAATGAATTAAAACATATTTAAAAAATTTTTTCCCCTTTCCCATAGCTCCTATATTAGGAAAAAAAAAAAGGAAAAGAGGAATAATGAACCCCTTTATAGAGGGGGAAAAAAGGGTAAAGGATTCTTTTTTGTGAAACTCATTTCACAGGAATTTTGGCCTCCATATTAGACTGTCTCCATTGGATGGTTCATAGCTTCTCCAAGAGGAATTTAAAAAGTACTTCATGGGATTATTCTGAGGCTTAAACGCAATAATTAATGTAAAATGCTTTGTCAGTTATCTGGCACATAGTAGTCATTCAATAATTGAGCCCTATCACTGTTACATAAAGGTAGAATAAAGTTAAGAGCTCATCAGTTAACAATGTCGAAACAGAATAAGAATCATGTTTTAATGGTTTGGGATAATGAATCCTCTTTAGTTTAAAGTCTAAACTGATAAATCTTTATGGAGGGCAATTTAATAATAATGTCAATGTTCATACTTTTTGATCATTTTAATTTCTTGGAGTTCATCCTAAGGAAACAAACAAGGATAAAGGTATGTATGGAACAAGGATTTTATCATAGCATGATTTACAGGAATAAGGAATTTTGAATACATTTTTTAGTCCATTTGACAAAACACAATATAGACATTGAAAGCCATATTTATGAAGAATATTTAAAGATGTAGAGAAATATTCAATGTTTGTGATACAATTTTTCAAGAAAAAGCAAGATACAGAAGTCTATATAGTTGGATCATAATTTTTCTAAATAAGTGGTATAACATAGCAAAAGTAGATTGGATAGAAGACCAGAGAAGAAGGCCTTCATTGTTGGTGTGAGTCACAAGTTAATTGTCACCAGTTGGTATCTTCATAAAACAAAGATGCTGCCTCAGCCTGTGCTGAAGTCCCATTGGGTTTCCCCAACCTTTTCCTCCCAGCCTACCTGGTGTGGCACCGAGGACAATGGCTCTTTTAAGTGAGGGAATACATGTAGTGCCCCTACGTCCATTCAGAAATTCAGCAAACATTTTTCAATTACCTGCTATATGCTGGGCACTGTGCTAATATCTCTAACCTTATCTTATTTAATTAACATATTCTTCATAGCCTTAAAAAAAGAAAAAGAAGTAGACTGGAAGGAAATACTACAATAATTTTAATAGCAATTATCTTTGGTGGGATTAGTGATTTTAATTTTTTCATACATTTCTACAGTAAAGCTGTTATACAATAAACTTATGTAATACAGTAAACTTATAGAATAAATTTCCATCACCAATTTATTAACTTCTGCTCTTTCTTTTCTCTTATTAAAAAAAACAGCAAATACTTCCGCTAAAAAAGAGAGTGGTATGTTTTTTAGGTTTACTCTTTAGGAAAGGAGATCAATATGAGATAGAGAAAATGGGGATAGTTTAGGGGCTTGAGTGAAGCACTTTACATTATTTAAGAAAGAAGGTAAATTAATACATTACAATGTGTTCTCTTGAGTTTTCAGAATTTTAGAAGTCTAACTTTAATCTGTTCATTCAAAGTATAGTAGCACAATAATCAGGAAGATAAATATGTCTATTATGAAAAGTCAAGGAGAGCCAGAAGATTAAATCAAATACCTGGATAACATAATTCCAGAAAAAAAGTATTAACAGAAAGAGGTGTTACACTTGAAATTGGTTTCAAGCTTGCTGTAGGATTAAAAAGAAAGAAAACAATTCTCATGAGCCAAGAAACTCAGCTTCCAGCACAGCATCAAAGAGTTTAATATTCTAAGTAGCTGTTCATAGAAGAAAACGGAAAATTTCATGGTGAAGGTCTTTGAAAACTTGTCCAAGTATAAACTCTTGTATGTGTTTAATTATTGGGATTTGGATGGAGTTAAAATAAGTAATTATCATGGTGGCTTTCACAGGTTAGTGGTCTGCAAATAAAGGAATAAGCTCATACATAAAAGGCAAATTATAATTGTTTTTTCATGTTTTCCAATACATATATTGACATTTAAACACTGGTTGAAACTTTTTTGTTTCTTCTTTGTTTACTATAAATTTCCATGTAAAGCATGTATAGCTCTATACAATGAAGGCCTCTCACCACATGATTTTCTATCATGTGACCTCAACACAACCTTTTAAGAAACTGTATGTTGACCCAACATTTTTTTTTTTAAACAAAAATCACAAATTCTATTGGAGTCCATAGTAGAGGCCCTAGATTTGGTTGGTGGTAGAGGACAGTGTTCAGAGATCTCACCAGGGAGGATAGGACATTTTGTGAGGTGTCAGGTTAATCATGCTAAGGACTTCTGACCTTGAGACAGATAGTCTTGCCATGAGTGCAAGACTGGAGGGAAGGTGGCCCGTTAGGGATGGTTGCAGTTCAGTAAGGACAAGGGTGATAGCAGCTTGTGAGATATACTCTTGTTTCCTGATTCCGTAATATTTGTCAGTCATGTTTAAGAGTGATATTAGGCTAATACAGCTGTTCTCAACCTGTGGGTCGCGACCCCTTTGGGGGTCGAACGACCCTTTCACAGGGGTCGCCTAAGACCATCGGAAAACACATATAATTACATATTGTTTTTGTGATTAGTCACTATGCTTTAATTATGTTCAATTTGTAACAATGAAATTGGGGGTCACAATAACATGAGGAACTGTATTAAAGGGTCGTGGCATTAGGAAGGTTGAGAACCACTGGTCTAATATCTTCTGGAGGTCAGTAATCATATATTTTTACTCTAAAATATCTGAAGAGCTGTGTGTCCCAGCCCATGCTTTTGTAACACAGCATGATGATGTCTTATTTCCAGTGTACACATATTTTCTTTCATTTACTGTATCTTACGAATTCAATATTTTTATTTCCCTGGTAACCTAATGGGAAAGTAAATTATATTAATTAGCTTGTACCATGAAAAGTTCTCCCCTTACTTTAGATATGTTATCCAGGATACATTCTCTTCTACTGTTTGGTTGTTGTTGCTACTACTTGACACTCTGGTGACATTGTTACATTAAGGAATGGTAAGGAAATTAGGGCCTGTTAAGTTTGCAGCTGCATTTTATGGTCATTAAAGAATGTTGATCTCTGTAAAACATACTAGTATTAATTCTTGAAATAGTGAGGAACCTTCCCTCCCAAGTCTTAAGCAAATTTAGCACAAGGTAATGACGATGGTGGGTTGATGCTGATGAAGAGCCTGCTTTTCAATAGTGAAGAATGAATGAAAGGTGATGCTTTAAATACAGCTGACACATTAAAGGGTATTATTAATGGTCTCTTTTTGAACTCACCACTTTTATTTGTATCCCTGTTAAGAAATTTATTATTTCTTTTTCCTTGTATTTATTAATTCATTTAAAAAGTATTTATCTCCTTATGAGACATGCCATATGTAACATGCATAAGTATTTACCCACAGGCAGGTTAGAGTATAGTTCTGTTCAACACACATGCTAAATATAACATGTATTATAGTTAGACATGTATAGGCCTACCTAGTTGCAGATATAGGCCTACCTAGTTGCAGATGTGTGTGTCTTACAACTACTAATTTGTTGCATTGCATTCAGTATGCAGTAAATATTTTTGAAGGAAGGAAGCTGGACAGTTGAAAAGATTTCCACCTCCACTAGGGAAAAGCAGCAGATAAATTTGTTGACTCCTCATTGGAGTCAGCATCATTCCTTTGGTTCAGCTTAAGGCTTACTGTTCTTAAGTTAGCATAATATAGATGATGCTAGATCACCCATAGGACAGTTTAAAATTCACTCAATCAGCTAGATGTTTTGCCTCACCTTTTTAAGGTGTTAAATCTCATTTCAAAGAAAGTCGTGTGTGTGTGTATAAACATCTGTCTTTTTGTCAGTAATATTGAAGAAGACTGATTTATTTAGCAAAAAATTGATTTTTATTTGTAATTATTATTACCTGTTATAACTTGGGACTCATTTTTTTTTTTTTTAATAGGCGAGTGGCCGAACTTTTTATGTTTGATTTTGAAATCAGTGGAATCCATCTAGACAAAGAAAAGGTAAAACTTTCCTTTCTGTTTTTTGGGTTCTCTTGTTTTACTAATATTTAATTAGTATCGTTGTTGCTACAGTCCTCATATACAGCTTGAATTTGCATACTGTAAAACTGCTTAGATAATTTATATTATGAAATTCTCCTAAAGGTTGTATTTGAATGTAGTCCTCTCCAGAAGTTGGCCTGTCACCATGATAATTTAGAATTAAAAATGACTTTAGACAGTAGGGATGATTTAGATGGCTTGGAATTAGGATGAGATGGGCAGTATCAAGAAAGACAAGGCAAATGAGTGAGGAAACTGACACCATTGAAGATTAAGATCTGGAGGTAGAAGTACAGGGATATCATTAAGACCTTTACATAGGTATATTTATTCATATTATAGATGTCTTTGACAGATTTATACAGTTTTGTTCCTGAAGCAGTATGTATGGGTTGTGCAATGTTTAAGCTGATACTAGCGAGGCCTTCTATATTGTCAAGACTTCTCATTTTACAGGTGTGGAAACAATACAGTGTTTTATTCAAGTTCCCATCCTTAGTTTCCAGGACTCCTAACCCTGGCCACTGCTCCTTCCAGACATAACATCTTAAGAAACTGAGTGCCTCATTTCAATATCAAGTTCCAGGTTGGAAGAATGGGGGTGACTTGACCACCACTGAAAGACTTGCTTGCTCCACAGTATCTCCCCTACATGCCTGCAGTCTAGACTACTATAGTTATGCTTTATTTAAAAAAAGTTTTTCTGCCGGGGTCCAACCCCAGCAGGTCCAGGGGTTCCCAAAGGCGTAGACGGAGTCGGCGAAGAAGGAAGGACACGGAGACAGTGTTCAGTTGATCAGCAGCCTAGCCAGGATCTCCAGCCAGGATCTCCAGCCAAGTTCTGGTCTGGATCTCCAGAGAGGTTCTGCTGTTTATTGTCTTGTTACATCCGTATTTATACCAGTTGATTTTAATCCTGTCAATTTCTATTACAAAGGTTAGGGCGTTTCTTATCTCCATTCCAGGGAGTAAAGATTATGTAGCTTAAGCATGATTGTTTGTAGTTAAAGTGATTAACTACCCGCCTGGCACTTAGTTAAGGAGTTTCATCCCCTCCCTAACTTCAGGGAAAAATCCCTGCCTGGAGAAACAACCTTTCTCGGAGAGGTGACCTTGGTTAAAACACACAGTGCTAAGGGGAGCAAACATATTAAGAACAGTATGCTATATACGCCAGGTCCCTTGAAACATATGCTGTGCAGATGTTTCTTTCCTGCAGCGACTGTGTCAAGCAGCAAGGATGGACCGGCTTCCGGCATTTTTCCTAATAAGTATAATATAAAGCCATTTAACCGATTAATAGAGATTAGTTTATTAGAGTATCTTGAAAAATAGAGGGCTAGGTTTTGGGATATATAACATATAGAATAGATTATGTCATTTTAATTGGTGCAGGGTTTGAGCAATGCAGAGGCTGCTCATACATGACTCCTGGCCTAACCCTAAGCCCAACATCCACAAGGCTAATAGGCTATACTGTAAATTCACATTGCCTAGAATGGACACATTTTCCCCTCTCCAAGTCAATTGTTTACTTCTCTGTACAGTGATACCACCATTCTCAGAGTCATTCAAATAAAATTTTAGAGTCAGTTTGCATTTTTTCCACTCCCAATATTCTCATATCTTAATCAGTGACCAAGTTCCTGGATTATTCCTTTAGAGCTTCTCCTGCATCTGTCTGCATCCCCCCAAAAACTCATCTTGATCCTTATCACCAAATCCCTGGGCTGTCCTACAGTCCATTGTCTTCCTGACACTCATTATAATTAACAGCAGTTAAGCATTTGCTATTTAAAGCATATATCGCTCATCAGATCTTTTATATATATATATATATTATTGATTTTTTACAGAGAGGAAGAGAGAGGGATAGAGAGCTAGAAATATCGATGAGAGAGAAACACCGATCAGCTGCCTCCTGCACACCCTCACTGGGGATGTGCCTGCAACCAAGGTACACGCCCTTGACCGGAATTGAACCTGGGACCCTTCAGTCTGCAGGCCGATGCTCTATCCACTGAGCCAAACCGGTTAGGGTTCATCAGGTCTTTATAACAAATTTGAGGCTGGTGCTACTATTATTCCTGTCTTATAGATGAAGAAACAGACATCTAGAGGATATGTGATTTATACAAAGTTACAGAGCTAGTAGGTTGCATATTACGCACAGATGGGGCAAAAGTAGTTTTACTTTTATATTATGGAAAATAATGCAAAAATTAATAATAATAATACAAGAATAAACTCTGTGTTTCATGTACCCACAACTGTAAATCTACTTTTGCCCCACCTGTATGTCAAACACTCTAGAGCCTATTCAGCTAGCCCTTCCTACAGTTCTAACTGACAATGGTCAGTCTACCTGTCTGAACATTGGAATCATTTCCTTCAAGCATTGACTTGATTGTTACTCTCCTGTCCAGAACCTTTCAGTGACTTCCCATTGTCTATTGAAAAAGTATAATAAGCTCTCCCTGTGCCTCAGTGAATTCATGATACTCTGTCCTTCCATTTGTGGTTCTGTGTCATCCTCGTCTGCCTGCTCACCAGGTTTGTCCCCCTAAAGTCCCTGTTAAGATTCATCTTCAGCCGATGGTGTCTGCAAAGCTTCATCAATCTCCGAGGTGGAATTCTGTATTCATATGAGCTCATATTTTACTTATTTCATGCACCTGACATTTATCTTTAACTGCTTTTTATTGAAGTTGTTATTATTATTGCATCTAAATTATATGCTTCTAAAGGATAGAGTATGTGGATCATATTTTTAATGCATACCAGTTTTGGACTTAATAAAATATTGAATGAATATATAATGAATCATAATAATGCCTGCTAATATTAATCAAGTTTGATGTCTTCAGGAGGAAGGCTGTTGCTGAATGATTTAATCATTTTATTTAATCCTCATGAAAGATCTTTTTGAAACTTTACTAAAAAGTATTATGTGTCAAGTCAAGGTCAGTTTCACCAGTATTAAACTTGTTCTCTTACTTTTTTTTTTTTTAATTCTCACCCGAGGATATTTTTTACCCCATTGATTTTTTTAGAGAGAGTGAAAGGGAGGGGCAGACACAGACAGAGACAGAGAAACATAAATGTGAAAGAGACACAGGTTGGTTGCCTCCTGCACATGCCCTGACCAGGGACAGCCCTTGACCAGGAATCAAACCTGGACCTTTCAGTCCATGGGCCGACGCTCCAACCACCCAGCCAAACTGGCCAGGGCTATCTTATGTTTTTATAAAAATAGCTGCCCTTCCTAGAAAGTAACTCCCTGGGACCCATGGACATTAAATCTCTCTCTTGTAACTTCTATGTCTGTTCTCTAAGGTGCTCCGCAAGGATGGGATAAAAGAAAAATGTTACACTTTTTAAAAGAAAGATCTTGAAATAAACCCAAGAACATAATCTACAAATCGTAGTTTTTTTCTTATTTAATTTGGAAGGTCTCACTGAATATAATTTACAAGTTTGAAATTAAGGGAAGTATATGTTTTTAGTGATTATGTAATAAATAACAATTTCATAGACTTTTTAGAGTATAGAGTACTGCTCATTTAGTTATCTCAAGATGATGAAATGCCTAGCAGATTGTTGGTGAAGTCGGGAAGTAAACCCACTTTTTATTTTTCCAGATAAAGAGTTATTTTTTATTTATTTATTTTTTCATAGTAAAGGCTTTGGGGAAAATTTTTGGATCCTGGAATTTTTCATCTTTTCTGTTATTCCATTTATTACCATTAGGTGGTGCTAATTGGCCATATCAGAAACAAAGTAAGTGTAGAGAAATCTGGACTATAAAGATGTTGGGATATCTGAAAAATTATTTTTCACATAAAGTTTGAATTTTCTATATTGAAAATGTTTGGTTATTAATATATACTTAGTTTTTAGCATCTTATCAAATGTACACCTGCATCATATATTTATTTTAAAAATATGTTAGTGCTGCTTAGTCATTTTTTAGGGTTTTAGTATAGTTTAGAATCTGTTAATAGCTATTGACTCCTTTTCCAGAAAGACTTCCATTTGTCATGAGCCCAGGTCCAGGTGCCTGTTTAGTTTTCTAGTAAAAACTGAAAATTTATCTCTTGTCCTCCGGTAGACCTGAACTATAGTTAATATTTCATTCGAAATATTTGTGTCACCCCTTTGATACACATTTTTTCCATAGATTGTGTGTCCTAAAAGTGTTACTGCCAAATAAAATTCTCATAGATGTGCCAACACCCTCTCCAACATCACCTATGGTTATCTGAGGACCAGACAGTGAGAGTCTGACAGTGAGGGCCAGGCACAAAAGAGAGAATATGTGGTCCTGGCCTTATGGGCTCTAGTCTAGTTCTCACCACTCCACTGCTGTCGTTCTCTAGATACCAAAGTATTTGCAAAATTCAGAACTCTTAAAGTGTTCCCCCTTCTGGAAGTTATCTACACTTTGTGAAGAATTTTAATAATTCCTTTCTCCTCACCTTTTTAGTATAATCTTCTAAGATAGTATATTTTCTCACCTACATTTCAAATACTTAATTTTTAATCTAAAAATACTTTTAAACATTGTATTGACTAGATTCAACTACAGTCTCTTGACTAAGAGGTCTTTTGGGGGCTAGGGAAAGATTCTGTACTTCCTAATATTATTCATCTCAAAGATTAGTTATATAACCTAGACATAAAATAGAACTCTAGAAATTATCTAAGTCTTAAAGCATGGAAACACTGTACAACATAGGATAATCTTTTTGTCTAGATATTAAATGTCTATCAAAAATAGAATTAACATATTGCAAGTATGTTATACATTTAGTACATAAATAATATATTCAATATTCATTTTATTATTTAATACTAGAGGCCTGGTGCACGAAATTCATGTGGGGGGGGGGTGGCGGTCCCTCAGCCCGGCCTGCACCCTCTCCAATTTAGGACCCCTCAGTGGATGTCTGACTGACGGCCCTGCAGAGATGGGGCCTACACCGGCAGTAGAACATCCCTCTCGCAATCCGGGACTGCTGGCTCCTAACCGCTCACCTGCCTGCCTGATCGTCCCTAACACTTGCCTGCCTGCCTGATTGTCCCTAACCACTTGCCTGCCTGCATAATTGCCTCTGCTTGCTGGCCTGATCACCCCCTAACTGGTCTGCTGCCAGCCTGGTCCCCCCCTAACTGCTCCCCTGCCAGCCTGGTCGCCACCTAACTGCCCCCCTGCCATCCTGATCGCCCCGTAACTGCCCCCCTGCCAGCCTGGTCACCCCCTGATTGTCCGGAAGGAAGTCGGATGTCCAGTCAACCCGGCCTAATTAGCATATTATCCTTTTATTAATATAGATCTTATGAAACTATAAATCAGATATTAATGTTGATTTACTATCTTTATAGACATCTATATGTTGTATTTAATAGACATCTACCAGGTGTACTGGTTAATAATGCATATTTTTTTCAATAGGTGGAGTTACACATATGTTGATATATATGCGATTTGATATGTATGCTAATTTGTTGTATTGACAACAAGCTTCTAAACTTCCTATGTCAAATTTTCTGAAGGTGTTAACATCATAGATATTTTTATTCTTTTTTTCATGCCAAAAAAAGAGCATTTGCAGGAAGTTTTAATTTATTACTTTATTTTGAAGAGAAGTGCTGCTGAAGCTTACGAGAAGTTTATGGTGAACATGTTCCATCTCAAGATACTTGTGAACTCTGGTTTAAATGCTTTAAAAGTGATGACTTCTCTGTGAAAGACAAAGAACGTCCAGGTCAACTGAAAAAGTTTGAAGACCAAGCATTATTGGATGAAGATGTGTGTCAAACTCAAAAACAACTTGCAGAAAGATTAAACGTTGCTCATCAAACAATTTCTGATGGTTTACAAGCAATGGGAAAGATTTTAAAGGAAGCAAAATGGGTGCCACATCAACTGAACAAAAAGCAAATGGAAAACCGAAAAGTCATCAGTAAAATGTTGCTTCAATGGCAAGAAAGAAAGTCTTTTTTGTATCGAATTGTGACTGGTGATGAAAAGTGGATTTATTTTGAGAATCCCAAATGCACAAAATCATGGGTTGATCCAGGTCAACCATCAACATCAACTGCAAGGCCAAATCGCTTTGGAAAGAAGACACCAAATGCTCTGCATTTGGTGGGATCAGGAAGGTGTGGTGTATTGTAGGCTTCTAAAACCAGGTGAAACCGTTAATACTGATCACTGCTGACAACAAATAATCAATTTGAACCACGTTCTGATCGTGAAACTACCAGAATGGGCCAGAAGACACGGCAAAGTAAATTTGCTTCATGATAACGCACCATCACACCCTTCAAAACCAGTTAAAGACACATTAAAAGATCTTGCCTGGGAAGTATTTACCCACCCACTGTATTCACCAGACCTTGCTCCTTCTTTTCAGATTACCACTTATTCTGATCGATGGCACACACTTTCTGAGCAGCATTTCAAAACATACAAAGAAGTGGAAAATTGGGTCTCTGAATGGTTTCCCTCAAAACAAGAAAAGTTCTATAGGGATGGTATCCACAAACTACCTGAAAGATGTGGGGGATGTGTAGCTAGTGATGGACTTTACTTTGAATTAAGCCCTTTTGATGATTCTCTTGAAATTATGGGTTTTCTTTGATTACAAAATCTGCATTATTTACTGGTATACCTGGTATATGGTTATTAAATTAGTTGTACAATATTGTTTAAATGCCATTAAATAACTTTTACTTCCCCTCTCCCCCCCTTATAGCGTAAAAGAGCAGTGGACCTGAATGTTAAAATCTTGGATTTGAGTAGTACATTTCTTATGGGAGCCAACTTTCCCAACAAGATTGAGAAGCATCTCTTACCAGAACACATTCGCCAGAACTTTGTACTTGCTGGAGATCATGTAATTGTTGATGGTCTACATGCAGAATCACCAGATGACTTGGTATGTGTATTCCATTTTCTTATAGTTCAGATCCCATTTGTGTGCTGCTACTGTCTTAAACCAAGCCCAGATTCAGTGATAATATAATACTACCATTACAAATACTTCAGTGTTGTTAAAATTTTTAACTTTGCGATTATTAATTCCATAAATGGTTTGAGTGATGAAAATGGTTTAATTATTCATGTCTTATGAAGAACTCAATTTTAAAGTATGATAAATAATAATGATTTTCTTTTCTTTTTTTAATCCTCACCCAAGGACATGTTTTTACTGATATTAGAGAGAGAGGAAGGGAAGGAGGGAAGGAAAAGAGGGAGGGAGGGAGAGAGAAAGAGAGAGAGAGAGAGAGAGAGAGAGAGAGAGAGAGAGAGAGAGAACATCCATGTGATAGAGAAATGTCAATCGGTTGCCTCCCATAATGCTCCGATAAGGGATCAAACCCACAACCTAGATATGTGCCCTGACCAAGAGTCGAACCCACATTTTGGTGCACAGGACAATGTTCCAACTGACTGGCCACCTAGCTAGGGCTGAACTACAGATTTTTAATGCCTATTAGTCATCACTTCACCTGGTTAAAGGTGCTTTATGGCACATGGGTTACATACAATTTTGTCTGACCATACCCCAACAGAGAACTGTAGTCAAATATGTTGTATCTCATACTAGTTTATGAGTCTAAAAGCTTTATTTACCTTGTGCAAACCATTATTTTATTTTTATAGCTAGGATCACTTGAAGAATAAAGTGGTGAGAGTTAGCCTTATTATTACTGCATAGGCTATATATTTGTATCATGGTATTTATATTTTTTATCATTTGCTGTTTAAATATAGGTGCGAGAAGCTGCTTATAAAATTTTCCTTTATCCCAATGCTGGTCAATTGAGATGTTTAGAAGAATTGCTCAGGAACAGAGATCTTCTGGCAAAGTTAGTAGGGTATTCTACGTATTCACACAGAGCTCTCCAAGGAACAATAGCTAAAAATCCAGGTAAGCCTGTTTATCCAACTTTTTTTTTTTTTTTTTTTTTTTAATTTTTATTGCTTAAAGTATTACAAAGGGTATTACATATGTGTCCATTTTATCCTCCCGCCCTAGACAGTCCCCTAGCCTCCCCTATCCCCCAGTGGCTTATGTCCATTGGTTATGCTTATATGCATCCATACAAGTCCTTTAGTTGATCTCTTACCCCCCTACCTCCTGCCCCCCAACCCTCCCCGGCCTTCCCGCTGCAGTTTGACAATCTGTTTGAGGCAGCTCTGCCTCTGTATCTATTACTGTTCAAAAGTTTATAATGGTATCTATTATCCATGAATGAGTGAGATCATGTGGTATTTTTCCTTCATTGACTGGCTTATTTCACTTAGCATAATGCTCTCCAGTTCCATCCATGACGTTGCAAATGGTAAGAGTTCCTTCCTTTTTAGAGCAGCATAGTATTCCATCGTGTAGATGTACCACAGTTTTCTAATGCATTCATCTACTGATGGGCACTTAGGCTGTTTCCAGATCTTAGCTATGGTGAATTGTGCTGCTATGAACATAGGGGTGCATATATCCTTTCTGATTGGTGTTTCTGGTTTCTTGGGATATATTCCTAGAAGTGGGATCACAGGGTCAAATGGGAGTTCCATTTTCAGTTTTTTAAGGAAACTCCATACTGTCTTCCATAGTGGCTGCACCAGTCTGCATTCCCACCAGCAGTGCACAAGTGTTCCTTTTTCTCCACATCCTCTCCAGCACTTGTCGTTTGTTGATTTGTTGATGATAGCCAGTCTGACAGGTGTGAGATGGTACCTCATTGTTGTTTTGATTTGCATCTCTCGGATGATTAGTGACTTTGAGCATGTTTTCATATGTCTGTTGGCTTTCTGAATGTCCTCTTTTGAAAGGTGTCTATTTAGGTCCTTTGCCCATTTTTTGATTGGATTGTTTATCTTCCTTTTGTTAAGTTGTATGAGTTCCCTATAAATTTTGGAGATTAGGCCCTTATCAGATATGACATTGGCAAATATGTTTTCCCACACAGTGGGTTTTCTCGTTGTTTTGTTGATGGTTTCTTTTGCTGTGCAGAAGCTTTTTATTTTGATGTAGTCCCATTTGTTCATTTTCTATTTAGTTTCAAGTGCCCTAGGAGCTGTATCAGTGAAGAAATTGCTTCGGCATATGTCTGAGATTTTGTTGCCTTTGGATTCTTCTAGAATTTTTATGGTTTCCTGTCGTACATTTAAGTCCTTTATCCATTTTGAGTTTATTTTTGTGTATGGTGTAAGTTGGTGGTCTAGTTTCATTTTCTTGCATATATCTGTCCAATTTTCCCAACACCATTTATTGAAGAGACTATCTTGGCTCCATTGTATGTTCTTGCCTCCTTTGTCAAATATTAATTGAGCATATTGGTTCGGGCCGATTTCTGGGCTCTCTATTCTATTCCATTGATCTATATGCCTATTCTTGTGCCAGTACCAGGCGGTTTTGAGAACAGTGGCTTTGTAATACAACTTGATATCTGGTATTGAGATCCCACCTATTTTGTTCTTTTTCAGGATTGCTGCAGCTATTCGGGGTCTTTTTTTATTCCAGATGAGTTTTTGGAGAGTTCGTTCTAGATCTCTGAAGTATGCCGTTGGTATTTTAATGGGAAGTGCGTTGAATTTATAGATTGCTTTGGGTAGTATGGACATTTTAATGATGTTGATTCTACCAATCCATGAACACGGTATGTTCTTCCATCTGTTTATGTCTTCCTCTATATCTTTTTTCAACGTCCTGTAGTTTTCTGAGTAGAGGTCTTTTACCTCTTTAGTTAAGTTTATTCCTAGGTAGCTTAATTTTTTTGGTGCGATGGTAAACGGGATTGTTTTTATAATCCCTCTTTCTGAAAGTTCACTATTGGTGTATAGAAATGCCTCAGATTTCTTGGGGTTAATTTTGTATCCTGCTACATTGCCAAATTCATGTATTAAGTCTAGTAGCTTTTTGATGGAGTCTCTAGGGTTTTGTATGTATAATATCATGTCGTCTGCAAATAAGGACAGTTTTACTTCCTCTTTTCCAATTTGGATGCCTTTTATTTCTTCTTCTTGCCGAATTGCGATGGCTAACACTTCCAGTACTATGTTGAACAGGAGTGGTGAGAGCGGGCATCCCTGTCTTGTTCCTGTTCTTAGGGGAAATGGTGTTAGTTTTTGTCCATTGAGTATGATGTTGGCTGTGGGCCTGTCATATATGGCTTTTATTATGTTGAGGTATGATCCTTCTACTCCCACCTTGATGAGAGCTTTTGTCAAAAATGGGTGTTGAATTTTGTCAAATGCTTTTTCTGCATCAATTGATATGACCATGTGGTTTTTTTCTTTCAATTTGTTTATGTGATGTATCACGTTTATTGATTTGCGGATATTGTACCATCCTTGCATCCCTGGGATAAATCCTACTTGGTCATGGTGTATGATCTTTCTGATGTACCGCTGGATCCGATTTGCTAAGATTTTGTTGAGGATTTTGGCATCTATGTTCATGAGGGATATTGGCCTGTAATTCTCTTTCATTGTGTTGTCTTTACCTGGTTTTGGTATTAGGGTGATGCTGGCTTCATAGAATGAGCTTGGAAGTGTTCCTTCCTCTTGAATTTTTTGTAGTAGTCTGAGGAGGATAGGTTTTAGTTCTTCCTTGAATGTTTGGTAAAACTCCCCTGTGAAGCCGTCTGGTCCTGGGCTTTTGTTTGCTGGAAGCTTTTTGATGACTGCTTCAATTTCTTCCATAGTTATTGGCCTGTTGAGGTTATTAGATTCTTCCTGATTGAGTTTTGGAATGTTGTATTTTTCTAGGAATTTGTCCATTTCCTCCAGGTTGTCTCATTTGTTGGAATAGAGCTGTCCATAGTATTTTTTAACAATCGTTTGTATTTCTGTGGGGTCTGTTGTTATTTCGCCTCTATCGTTTCTGATTTTGTTTATTTGGGTCCTCTCTCTTTGCTTCTTGGTGAGTCTGGCTAGAGGTTTGTCAATCTTGTTTATCCTTTCAAAGAACCAGCTCTTGGTTTCATTGATTTTCTGTATTGTTTTTTTGGTCTCTATGTCATTTATTTCTGCTCTAATCTTTATTATCTCCTTCCTTCTGCTCACTCTGGGGTTTTCTTGTTGCTCTCTTTCTAATTCTTTGAGTTGTAGAGTTAGATGATTTACTACCATTTTTTCTTGTTTTTTGAGATAGGCCTGTAGAGCTATAAACTTCCCTCTCAGGACTGCTTTCATTGTGTCCCATAGGTTTTGGATTGTTGTGTTTTCATTGTCATTAGTTTCCAGGATGTTTTTAATTTCTTCTTTGATCTCATTGGTAACCCAATCAATATTTAATAGCATGCTATTCAGCTTCCAGGTGTTTGAGTATTTTGGGTTGTTTTTATTGTAGTTTATTTCTATTATTATGCCATCGTGGTCTGCGAAGACGCTTTTTATGATTTCAATCTTCTTGAATTTGGGGATACTTTGCCTGTGACCCAATGTATGGTCTATTTTTGAATATGTCTTATGAGCATTTGAGTAGAATGTATATTCCCTGGCTTTGGGGTGAAGTGTTCTGAAGATGTCTATTAAGTCCATCTGATCTAGTGAGTCATTTAGGATTGCTGTATCTTTGCTGATTGTTTGTCTAGAGGACTTATCCAGTGTTGTCAGTGGTGTATTAAAGTCCCCTACTATGATTGTATTGTTGTCGATCTCTCCTTTGATATCTTCCAGGAGTTTTTTTATGAATTTGGGTGCTCCTGCATTGGGTGCATATATGTTTACCAGGGTTATATCCTCTTGTTGTATTGATCCCTTTAGTATTATGAAGTGGCCTTCCTTATCTCTTGTTATGGCCTTCACTTTGAGGTCTATTTTGTCCGATATAAGTATTGCTACCCCAGCTTTCTTTTCCTTTCCATTTGCCTGAAAGATATTTTTCCATCCTTTCACTTTCAGTCTGTGTGAGTCCCTTCTAATGAGGTGGGTTTCTTGTAGACAGCAGATGTATCGGTCATGTTTTTTTATCCATTCAGCCACTCGATGTCTTTTGTTTGGAGCATTTAGTCCGTTTACGTTTAAAGTATTATTGAAAGGTACTTGTTTGTAGCCATTTCTGTTTTTGTGTGGGTGTTTTCTTTCTGAGCTTTTTATTTCTTATTTTTATACCAGTCCCTTTAGCATTCCTTGCATTGCTGGCTTGGTGGTGATAAACTCCCTTAGCCTTTTTTTGTCTGTGAAGCTTCTTATTTCCCCTTCAAGTTTGAATGATAGCCTTGCTGGATAGAGTATTCTTGGATTCAGTCCTTTGCTTTGCATCACTTTGTAAATTTCTGTCCATTCTTTTCTGGCCTGATGTGTTTCTGTTGAGAAATCATTTGACAATCTAATGGGAGATCCCTTGTATGTAACTTTCCGTCTCTCTCTTGCAGCCTGTAAGATTCTCTCTTTGTCCTGAACACTTGCCATGGTAGTTATGATGTGTCTTGGTGTGGGTCTTTTCGGGTTCACCTTGTTTGGGACTCTCTGGGCTTGTGTGACTTTTTTCTTCCCCACCTCAGGGAAGTTTTCTGATATTATTTCTTCTAATAGGTTTTCTAATCCTTGTTCATCCTTCTGTTGTTCTGGTACCCCTATTATTCGTATGTTGTTTCGTTTCATGCTGTCCCAAAGCTCCCTTAGGCTCTCCTCCTGTCTTTTAATTTTTTTCTCCAATTGCAGTACATTTTGGGTGTGTTTTGCTTCCTTGTCTTCTAATTCACTAATTCGGTCCTCTGCTTCTCCTAGTCTACTGTTGATACTTTCAATGGAGTTTTTCATTGCAGCTATATCACTCTTCCTTTCTTCTTGGGTCTTACTTAAGTTGTTGATTTTTTCATCTGTTTCTTCTAGCTTCTTCCATATGTTATCGATTTTTTCATCTGTTTCTTCTTGCTTCTTGAAGAGGTTGTCGATTTTTTCCTCCATCCGGTTTATGCACTC